AGTGAGTCCTCCGGGGCAGCACCGGGTGGCGTGGGCTTGAATTGGGCCATGGCACAGTAGGGCTTTGGGAAGTGAGGTGCCGTGAGCCAGGACCTCTGACCAGATGGGGTTTTGCCACCGTGCGGGAGCGGATTTTCTGGAGCACGCATCCTGGGCTTCTGTAGACAATCCCAGCCTGTTTCTGGTGGTGGGGAGGAGGGCTGGGCTGACCAGTGGCTTAGGCTTGCAGTACCATTTGTGATGATCTGAGGCTGTCTTGTCTTCTGCTCTAGCCACCCATGACATCATTGATGCGGAAGTGACCTGCAAAGCTGCCCAAATGGAGGTGTCCATTTCAAAGTGTAAGCTGTTCCAGCTAGGCTTTGAGCGTGAGGGGGTGCGGGTCAACGACCGCCACTGTCCCGGCATCGAGGGGGAGGACTTCATCTCTTTCCAGATCAACAACACCAAAGGCAACTGTGGCAACTTGGTGCAGGTGAGTCACAGGGCACGTGGGACTCGAGTGGAGGTGCGCGATGCTCAGGAGATGCTTTCCTGGGATGGGGCCCGCAGAAAGCAGAGGCTTGCAGATTAAGGGTGTTGCTGAGCAGTTCCTAGCCTTGCTGTATTGAACCCTTTCCAGCCAGAGGTGGTGGCTGGGTAGCAGGACCTTTGGTGTCACATAGCTTGTAGGGTCAAAGTGTTCATTAGGAGCAAGAGAGTGCCTGTCTTGAGCAATGCCCCACGTTCCTTCTGCAGTCAAACAGCACACACATCGTGTACAAAAACACGGTGTGGATCGAGAGCGCGAACAACACGGGCAACATCATCACCCGGGACAGGACCATCAACGTGGAGTTCTCCTGCGCCTATGAGCTGGACATCAAGATCTCCCTGGATTCGGTCGTGCGGCCGATGCTCAGGTAGGGTCAACTCTGTGGCCTCTCTTGTCACACAGGTACAGGAGCAAGGGTCCAAAATGAAGTGCTGAGTCGGAGTTGCATAGTCTGTCCTCCATCTGAAGTGACATTTTTTCTGTGGGTGCTAGCGTGATTAACCTGACGGTGCCGACCCAGGAAGGGAGCTTCACGACCAAGATGGCCCTGTACAAGAACTCGTCCTACAAGCATCCCTACCGGCAGGGCGAGGTGGTGCTCACCACCCGGGACGTGCTCTACGTGGGGGTCTTTGTCGTCGGGGCCGATTCCAACCACTTGATCCTGATGCTGAACAAGTGCTACGCAACCCCCTCGCGGGACAGCAACGACAAGCTGCGGTACTTCATCATCGAGGGCGGGTGAGTGTGGCCCAGCGTGCCCTCTTGTTTTCTTTTGTGTCTCTTGGAGAAGGTGCTTGAGAGAGCTGTGGTATCTGTAGCGGTGGTGTCAGTTGGAGGTGGGGACTTTTTAGTCAGTGAGATGGCTAAGCAAGATCTAGAAAGGATAAGGGGGGAACAGGCCAACTTGTGTCTGTGGCCTTCCTCATCTCGCTGATGCTGTGCGTGTCAGGGTATCCGTAGGAGACGGGGGCATGTGGATTATGGTGGCGGCGTGTTGGGAAGCAGGAGTACAGTGAAGTTGGAAGTGCCAGAGAGAGGTTGTTTTACTGAGGTGGGGTATGATGCCCTTGTCTAGAGGAGGCTGGCACGATGAAGATCTAAGGGTGCTGCCGTGGGACTTGGTGTGAGGGGCCTTATGGGGACAGGGCCAAGCGGTGTCCCTCAAGGGTGTTTGTGGGAGGTCTGGTCAGGTCAGGTCAAGCATCAGGGCTTCGTGCAGGTGCCAAAACATGAAGGACAACACCATTGGCATAGAGGAGAACGGGGTGTCGTTGACCTGCCGCTTCCACGTCACCGTCTTCAAGTTCATCGGGGATTACGACGAGGTTCACCTGCACTGCGCCGTCTCGCTCTGCGACTCGGAGAAATACTCCTGCAAAATAGTGAGTGGGGCGAGTGCTGAGGGCTGGGTGGCTCGCTTTGTAGGGCTCTGTCTGAGCGTGGCAAGCCAGCCTGACTTGGGGTCAGAGGCACAGCTGGAGTCGTAGCCCTGGGGGCAAGGCCAGGACGGTTGCGTGCCCTCTTTAGGTGCCAGGAGGACAGCCCTGCTGTGCGCGGGTCACCTCGGGGCCCGTGCTCCCTGAAGCTGGTGGCAGGGTCCCTTTGGGAGCCCCAGGAGGGGCCTGGGCAGGGGCTGAGCATGACAGAGGTGGCATTTATCCCTGTGTAGAACTGCCCTCAGCACACAAGGATGGCCAGCACGTTCGCAGAGGAGTCCAAGGAGCAGATCCTCTCGGTGGGGCCTATTAGAAGGAAGCGTAAGTGTGCACAGCCTACACAGGGGTTTGTCCCATCAGGGTTGAGCCCAGTGACGTGCTACAGGGCAGTGCCTGGGTGTGGCAGGTTCTTGGGGAACCAGGGAAAGGGAGTGTGAGAAGGTCTCCTGTGGAGAGAGGCTGGTCCTTTAAGCAGGAATTGGGGCAAGTGCAAGAGAACACTTGGCCGGTTCTTGCTGGTGGGAGGTGAGGGCAGAGGGCCTGCAGATGCCGGTTGGATGGGTGCTGGCCTGGGCTGTGTCAGGGGTCTGTGTCAGGGTTCCTAGGGGTGGGTGGCTGGGTGGTTATAGAAGAGATGGTGCAATGGCAGAGTGGGTGGTGGGACCCCAAGGTGGTCTGGGGTGCTCTGTTTCTGGCCACATGGCCCTGTAATCCTTTTCATCTTCCTGAAAGGGCCCCTGGAGGGTTGTGAGCAGACTAGGTGCTGCTTTGGGATCACGGGTGACAGTGGGTGCTTAGCTGGGTCCTAGCATTGGCCGCACGCTGCCTGTTACACCAGGGCATCCCTGGCTGCTGATGGGCTTGCTTTTGTGGATCCTGTTGTAGCAGGGAGCGTGGGGCTTGGGCAGCCAAGGATCGGGGCCTTGGGGTCTGAGAGGATCGCTCAGGTGTCTTCCTTTGCTCTGTGTCCAGGCTCAGACTGGTGTGAGGACAACGGAGGCTGTGAGCAGATCTGCACGAGCCAAGTGGACGGACCCCTGTGCAGCTGCGTGACGGGAACACTGCAAGGCGACGGCAAGAGTTGCAGGGGCAAGTACTGGGCACGGTGCAGGGGGAGTTGGGGTGGAGGTTATGCTGGGAGGAAGGTGGAGGTCAGGGAGATGGCTGCGTTCTGTTCCTGGGAGATGAAGGTGCCTGGTGGGCACCTGAGGGTTGTCAGGTCAACGATGGCGCACAGGTGCAAGTGTGACAATGGTGTAGAGTAGAGCCTGTACACCACCTAAGGTCCTTATGGGAGAGGGGAACCTGGGAGAGTGAGGAACTGGTGCGGTTTGCAGGGTGCCCAGGGTATTTTGGGGAGGGACCCGTCTGTTGTGCATGTGCCAGGGCCCCAGCTCACATGAGTGTTCTTGTCTTGGCAGCCTCCAGCTCTTCAGGGGAGTGCCGTGCCCGGGTGACCCTTCTGGTGGCAGCCCAGCTGTGGCTGTGCGCAGCTCTGCGGGACCTGACCTCGTAGGCGCGGCTCTGCCGCCCAGCCAAGTACTGTTCTCGCGTCAGCCTGAGTCTTTCTAGGGTAGGAGACAGCACTCCCACAGTGGCCAAGCTGCCACCGACCCATCCTGCTGTGTGGAGACAGGAGAGGGACTTGACCTGGAGGAGGATTGGATGCGGACCCGGCTGCGAAGGAAGCGTGTAGCAGGCACAGCGACAGCGAGGCAGAGCTGGATATTTGCTGGCATTGATCTGGGACTCGAGGGTTTTTTTGCAGCTTTTGTCTAGGCTTTCCATTGTAGCATGTTCTGTTGGTGGCCCGCACCCCTGTTGCTAGTGGGAGATGGGCTGGAGCACATGCCACCCCCTCACACGGATGGCTGCGGGTCTCCACAGGCCTCGGGAGCTGCTCTCGGTGTCTCCTGAGCACATGGACCTGGCCAGAGGTAGGTGTTGCAGCAAAGGTTGTGGGCCAGAGTGGACCATCTTCATCATGGGACGTTGTGACACCCTGGGATCGTGTCACCGTCTGGCTCTGGAGCAGAGGTGTTGTTGAGGTGTGTGCCTGAGGGCTGAGTTTGTCCCTGGGGGTCTGGGAAGCCTGTTAGTGTGCTGCAGTGGTGACAAGTGGGTCCCAATGTTTGGGAAGAGGCGTTTTCTGGGGGGCAGGAGTGGAAGCCTGACAAGCGAGGGATGGATTTCCTGTCTGTGAGGGCATGGTGCGCCGTGGCACTTTTCCCAGGGTGAGAGTAGGGTTGGGGTCGGGGTGCCTGGTGAGGGAGGGGGCTGTCTGTGCTGGTATCTTGTCTTGTGTTTGTACTCTGTGAAATGGCTGCGTGGGAATAAAGTGTTGTAATCCTTCGTAAGCGGCGTGGTCCTGTGTGCTGGCGGCAAGGAGGCCGGAGCAGGGGTTCCAGGGTGCCAGGGTTTGGGGCTTGCCAGAGCTGAGGGGCGGGGCTGCAGGAAGGAGGTGCGCCTCTGCTTTGTGATCATGTGGCTGAGAGCTTCTGGCTGAGGATTAGGGGGATAGAAAACAAAGGGATGATGTTGGGGATGTCTCCTACCGATGGTACGTGGGTATGTAAGCACCGATGAGGTCGTCTATGGGCGATGAGGAGAAGTGTCTGGATGGGTGGCCTTTGTCCTTGTGGGAGATGGCAGCTTCCTAGATATGAAGTGGGAATATCATACTGCTGTGAGGAGTGGGTCTTGGGAATTCTTGAAGTTCGTAGGAGATGATTTCTTGTCACAAGTGCTGAGTGAGCCAACTAGGAAAGGCACTCCTGTAACCTAGCTGTTGGTGACTAGAGAAGGACTGGGGGGGATGTGATGTGAGGTGGCTGTCTCGGCCACAGTGACAATGCAACGGTTGAGTTTTATAATTGTCAGTGTATAGAGGAAAAAAGGGTAGCCAAGTTGCTGCCCTGGACTTCAGGACAGCAGAAGAAACCTCAAGCTGTTTGGAGAGCTCTTTAGCTGAGTCCTGCACCACTCTGCTTTTAAGTGGTTAGGAGTCCTCAGGTGGCAGTTGGTGTTTAAGAGCTGCCTTACAGAAGCAGGGGAACTGGTAACTCCAGTGTGGCATAAGGCAGAGGAGAGATGAGGAACACCAGCTGGGCTGAATGGGCAACCCCTTGTGGAGCTGCACAGGAAAAGGGAATTGTATCCTCTCTGGAGCTGAGGTCAGGTTTTGCAGGAAGAGGACAAAGCTGTGCTTGGTTCATAGAGGCAAGGAGAAGACACCAAAAGCTAAAGGTCTTTTTTGAGTTGAAACTGGCCAGTGTTGATTGAGATAATGAAAGGGGCTTCTAAAAGTATGTTAATAGCATGAGGAGGTGTAAAGAAAACATTGGACTGATGCTTGTTGAGGATGGTCATCTGCCTCAGAGAGCTGCAGAAAAACCAGAGGCTTCCAGCGTGCGGGTTGCTTCAGTCTTTAATAATGCAGACAGCCTTTGGGCTACCTGGTCCCCTGAGTCAGAGGACTGTGAGTGTGGAAACAGTGATGTGACTTGTCTGAACACTGAGATTATAGGAAGACAAGCTCCTGAGACAGGATGGGATTAATCCCACAGTACTAAAGGAGCTGCTGGATATTATGCCAGGACTCCTCTTGATCTTTTGCCCAAGGTCTCAGAGGTGTGTGTGGGGGGGGGTGTCCCGGCTGACTGGAAGGTAGTCAACATTATCTCAGTGTACAGAAAGGGTGTGAGGCCAAGACTTGGGAGTTTAGCCTCAGATTCTGGAAAAGTCATGCAGAAGTTTATAGTGGACACTGTTGAAAGGCATTTAAAAAGTAATGCAATCATTGCACACAGTCAGCACGGGTCTACAAAGGGAAGGCCCTGTGAGCTAGTTGGAAATCCTTCTTGGGTTAGGTCACCTACCTAGCAGATGAAGAGAAGGTGGTTACTGTAGGTTTTGCAGATAGTACTAAGGGTTTTGATGAAGTCTTTCAGAGCATCCTGCTGGACATGTTGGTCCAGTCGTGGGATGAGGAGGTTCATGGCGTATTGGCTGAAGGATAGAGCCTGAAGGGCTGTAGTGAAGGAGGCTAGATCTGACTGATGCCCAGTAATGTTCCCCAGGGTTCCATTCTAGGACCAGTTCTGGTCATGAAAGTTATTAGTCATGTGGGTGCAGGATATGAATGTACCATCTGTGAGTTAGCTGATGATACTAGACTGAGAGGAGACATTGTCTGTCGTGAGGGAGAAGAGGCCTTATAAGGGGATCTAGATTTTTTTGAGCATTGAAACTGAACAAGTTACAAGGTGAGATTCTGCACAAAGGACAGAGTAGTGATGGG